TTGAAAGTATAGTGCCAATTCGTCTCTGATTATTTTCGCGTTATCAGTTGGTTTTCGGGGAATATTTTTAAGTGGCACACGAACATGTCATGTGGCATATACAAAGTAGAAGATGTAGAGCTTTTTCTCAAGAAGTTATGTAGATGAGGTATTGCCATTACAATTATTTCAGCTTTTGCGGGTTCAAGTAATATGGGTTTACGGAGTACTCGAAAAACGGCCGAAGCAATACCAAACACATTTTCTACAGTTCTTCGAGCACGAGATAATCTATAGTTGAATATTCTTTGTATGAATCCTTTGAGATGCGCTCCCGAAAACGGTTTCATTAGCGAATCAGTGAATGCAAAGGCCTCGTCTCCGATGAAAAAATAAGGAATTTTCCGTTGCATGCCTTTTAAAGTTTCTGGTTCAGGAAAATTCAACTGATTTTTCACTAGTTTTTTGTAAAGTGAACAATCTTTAAAGATGCCACCATCTGAAATTCGCCCTTGGCCACCAGCATTGACGTATAAAAAATTATAATTAGCATCCACTAAGGCGAAAAGAACAACGCTGAACGTAGATTTGTAGCTGAAAAATTCGCTTCCAGTGTTGCATGGTGCTTGAATAACCACATGCTTTCCATCTAAAGCTCCAAGGCAATGCGGAAAATTCCAGGTTTTTTCAAATTGCTTTGCCACGTCCAGCCATGATTCTGGTGTTGTCGGTATCTGCAACAATTAGAACAAATTGTGTCATGAGAAATTACGCGATATGCCCACAAATAACTGATGTCTTTATTTTCTATCGCAATGTGAATATTCTTGTAAATGACTAGGACTACTATTTAATTACAGATTGAAGACGAAGAAACAGATGATAATGAGGTATCTGATGGTGAATCAACATTGACAGATAACGACGTTGTGAAGGAGACTCAGGAGGTTATACATAATAGACCGAAAAGAAAATTGACGGATGTAACACCAATTAGAAAACAGCGAAGATTCTGATAAATTAGATAGAGCTTTTCAGATACTGTCAAAAGCATCAGCAAACGCCAATAACCCAGAAGGACACAACGAATGTCAGATATTTGGAAATCTTGTGGCTAAAAAATTGGCTAAATATTCGCCTGAATTGCAGACCAATACACAACAAACGATTATGAATATTTTATTTAAAGCAGACAGCATCCATATTCGCCAAAATTCAAGCAATTTCCAATCCCCACCACAACGTACTGACACTATTCACTCATTTTTTCGAATTATCAGGCTAACCAAGAATCCTGTTTTAATCAAGAGCCATCACAGTTGTCATCTCCAACATATAGTTATGGTAATTCAAATCCCTCGACCTCGACTGACAATAATACTCCTCTCCCTCCTTCTTTGCCACACGAGTTATTGGATATGTCCCACATTGAACTACAGAGCTTGTAGTTAGTGCAAATGTTTAATGTGAGCAACAGTTTATTTAATGTAAGCAATATTTTGTTTAAAATATAGAGTTATTGTGTCAAACCTTTATTTTTTTACCTGTATATTGTCATGTAATCCTTCTATTATTGCTTCACACACTTCAGGAACTATAGTGCTTATAGATTGCTTAGATATTTTAAAGAGGTACTGAAGACTTGTGAAGGAATCACCAGTCGCCAAAAATCGAAGCGTAACTGCCAATCTGTCTTGTACAGAAATTGCCTTTCTCCAGCTGGTATCTTTTCGTAATATTTTGGGTCCAATCAAATTGATCAAATATTCAAAGTCTGTTGCGGACATTCTGGTGAAATTTTTGTAGAGGCCGCTCATTTTCAAGTCTATGAGCAAATTACTTTACACATTTCTTTTTACGAACAACTGCCTCTGCCAAAAACGTTTTTCTCTTCGCTTTTTTTGATTCTTCTTAACATAATAATGCATGAATATATAGGCAGCAGCGGCGACTTCCATTATAAACGCACTAGGAAAAACGGAACGGCAGAATGTTCTGCTTTGAAGATACGCGATTGTATGAAAAAAAGTACACACCGTGACTTAGACGCGTAACACATAGTTGTTGCGGGACGGTGTTATTACACGGCGTTTTGTTGCATGTCTGGACCCACCTTTAGATGCTGTGATCTGTCAGCAGAACTTTTTTAACTTTATTTGAAACTAGACTTAACCTGTATAGACTGAAGATTGTCGCTTATTTGATTGTAGATGAAATAATAATAACAATAATAATAAAAATAATCCAGTGGAAAATGAAGTACGTGGAGACAATACCAATAATAATGTCATCTACAGGGTGATACCAAGAAGCCTGCTAGAAAACATCAGAGCGCTGGAACTGAGTGAAAACATTTACAAAATCATACAGATAGGAGTTTTGCTGGCGACTGCCCGCATAGTAAGAAAATTTATGGGAAATGCAAGTACCTAGTGAGGTCACTATTGAGGCTTATCCCTTTGATGCTTGAAACGTCCGGGTTAAGCCAGAACACCCCGATTAACGGGAGTAACAAAGCCCTACGGCTATATAAAAAATAATAATAATAATATTTATTCACTCAATAAATGAGTAAATAAATATAAAATCAAATTTGGCCCAATTGAAGGCATTACCTGTACATGGACCAATAATTTTAAGTTGCAACCGTAGAATGCAAAAGACAAAAAAGGACCAAAAATTAGCCACAGTAGATTACGTATTTACTTGATGTTCGTATTTATGAGTTTATTCATTTCAGTCCTAGATATAGAATGTAGCCACTTTTTTCTGTACATAGTGTAATATGCTTACATTTTCCTTTTAGGGTGAAATCTCATTCAAGTATTATTAAAACATCTTGTTGGCTTTCATGTCAAAAAGTAACTAAACTGTGCAGGTTCGAATCCCGTTCCAAGAGAAACTTTCCTCTTGGCTGTGGATGTTGTGATTGTCCGTAGGTGGTCGACGGTCTCTGACTGTCGAACGCGGAGGTACCACCTGGCGGATCTCGTAGGCGGGGCCAGAATGTGTGCATGTTGCATGCACACGTGTTCCCTCGCCAGAGTCCGTGTGGCGTTCCCCCTTTCCCTGTATCCCGCTATAGCCTCACGGTACCCCTTTGGGTGTTTAGGCCTCAGGCCTTCGTGGTAGTTGGAGTATAAAAAAAAGTTTAGGAATGTACAAACATGCTGTGTAATGTAATAATGTTTAACAAATGGATCTGGCATATCATCACAATATTAGTTCATTATGGATTGCTAGTCAAGCAAGTTGAATGAACTATTCATACAGGAAACAGAATTATACTAAGTGACATATAAATCCGAACACCCAGTTTAAATGGTTTTATTTTAATAAAAGTTGGTGAATGTATTTATCTTACTGCAAATAACAATTGAAAAAATTTTCAGCCTTATTAGTTGGACATTCCGGTTTTTATACTGCTTTTTTTTTAATTCACTAACGCTCTAAAAATGAATATTTCAGCCGCAGTAAAGAATCAACGTTGGCGGATTTTGGTTCTTGACCACCTTTACGGTCGGTTACGATGCCTAAAGTACGGAGACCTGTACGATTTCGTCAACTTAGTGAGTTTGATAGGGGCCGTATAGTGGGACTTCGGGAAGCTGGAATTTCTTTTCGGGCAATTGCAGTTAGAGTGCAAAGAAGTGTAGACACTGTGGTTAGGTGTTGTCAGGCATGGCTTCGAGAAGTCCGTACGCAAAGAGCAAGGGGCACTGGACGCCGTAGAACAACAGACCGTGAAGATCGCCGCCTAAGATTATTGGCCTTAAGGGACCGTTTCTCCACTACCAGGTCCATTGCAAATGAATAGTTTGCAGAACACGGAAGACCTATTGGCATGCGAAGTGTTTACCGACGAATGAGAAGTTTTGGCTTGTTTTCTTACCAGCCACACTGGGTCCTCCCTTTAACTCGAGAACACCGACGTAATCGCCTTGAATGGTGCAGACAACGGTCACTCTGGGATCAGGAATGGAACAGTATTGTCTTTAGTGACGAGTCTCGATTTTGTTTAGGCATGCACGATGGTCGTGCCAGGGTTAGAAGGCGACGTGGTGAAAGGAGGAATCCACAGTTTTTTGTTGAAAGACATGTTAATCACACTGTTGGAGTTATGGTTTGGGGTGCTATAGCTTATGGTTCCAGGTCACCTTTAATCTTCATCAGAGGTAACATGAACGCGCAGCGTTATATCCACGATGTTCTCGAATCCCATCTTTTACCCTATCTTGACACCCTGGCAGATCCAACTTTCCAACAAGATAATGCCCGACCACATGTTGCAAGAGCCACAATAGACTTCTTTCAACATAATGATGTCACATTGTTACCATGGCCACCAAGATCTCCCGACTTATCCCCAATTGAGCACGTGTGGGATATGATGGGTAGGAGATTGCTCAATTTGCAACGTCCTCCTCAGACTCTAGAAGCACTTCGAGAGGAGTTGGTGGTTGCCTGGAATGAGATACCACAGGATGACATTGACCACCTGATCAGAAGCATGCCTAGGCGCGTTGGAGAATGCGTAGCACATCAGGGTGCATCCACACGTTATTAAAGGTCAAAGGGCTTTAAAGCAGTGCAATCATTTTGAAATTTTTATTATTTACTTATTATGCTTCATTAAGTACTTATACAAAATTTTATTAAAATAAAACCATTTAAACTGGGTGTTCGGATTTATATGTCACTTAGTATATATATATATATATTATACTTTATGAAATAAGTATACAATTTTGTATAAACGATTAATCCATTGCAATAGCGTTGTGCGATATGCAGGCATCGTCAACTTATAACTATACTGAAAACTGTGCATTTCCGGGCCCATGTTTATAAAACCTTTTTTTCGTATTTTTCAACAAGGAATCACTCTCTGAAATATCTTCGTCTATTTTTCGAACACCCTGTATTTCGCAAACGCTTTTTTTATCAATGCGTATAGTTAGCCTCGCCGATGCTATTTTTCCCCATCAGTGAGTCAATTTGATAAGAAATACTTTGTTCCAGGGGAAATGCTATAAGGTAGGCTGCGATGGACAGGTGAACTCAAAGCTGATCAGGGATAGATGCGGAGTTTGTGGTGGGAATAACACGGGCTGTTCCGAAATGAATTTATCGTCATCCAGAAAGCTCAAGAGAGGTAAAGGGATCCCCGGAATCTCCGGACAAAGGATATAAAAGAGTCCTTGCCATTAAGATTACGCCGTCTTGCCGGGAAGATAGCTTCAGTTTCTATATATCTAAAATCTGTCCCCTGAAATCTTAAGATATATGTACATTAAGTTGTCCCAGCCTAACAAATTTTTGTTTGAATTGAGATACGCATAATCTCTAACCTTTTTCTATTTGACTCTAACAACTCAAAAAATAAATATTATTGAGATCGGGAAACTATAACTTTCGGTCGAACTTTCAAACTTTGAATTTGAAAATTAGTAGGGAAAGCATGTATGGATTTCAAAACCTAATTTTCATTCGACAAGTAAAACACTGCTTTATTTGTATCTTATATTCCTTAGATATTTATCATTAAGAGAACGTTGCTTACTAAATTCTCTTTTCGTTTTACAGTCAAGACATACTTGCCTGTGCTCTTGTAGGCAACGTGATAAAAATTGTTTTTGTTCCTCATGACCAGTGATTACACCGTGGAAGTCTTGCATTAACATGACTGCTCTTTCTGTCGAATCGTTAACTGCTCTTAGTGTTTGCACCTTACTCTTAGCGTGTTGAGTCGACTGAACAAGGACTTGCTTTTGATTGAAACAAAGTCATAGATATTCACCACTACCAACCGGAAGTACGTCAATGTGAATATGTAAAAAATGCAAATTCATCGGTAATACTCAACCCCCAAGTTTCGTCTTTCTATCTTCAATAATAAAAAGTTATAGGGGTGACCTTGGAGAATCACTCGGTATACTGCATACCTTATTTCTCTGAATGCCTGGTCTTATGAATGACTGGTGTTGGACTAAAAACATCTAAGTATCGATACCTTCCACAACATTATTTTACAATCGGCAACGAATTCCTACTTTCCGCCTTAGTGCACCATTATCCAAATGAAAAGACGTAGACTGAGAAAAAAATTAAACCAGTTAGAATTTTAATTAGGTCAATTATAAAATTACCTACGTGGCAGTTAACAAGTTTAGTTAGTTTGATTTAACTCCGGTTTCTAGAACAGTTTACTCTTATCTAATAAACTAGTTTAATTAAGACAAAACGCAATCGTTCAATTAGATTTCTTTAAATGTTTATTTAGACTGATAACACCAATTTATTTTGAATTAATGAACTATTAAAATGAATTTACCCTTAATTTAATTATATCTATTTAATGTGTTTAATTAATTTAGGTAAAAGTGCTTGCCTAGTTTCAATGAATGATGTCATTTAGATTTAAAAGAATATTTGGATAACATTTTGATTTATTAAAAGAAATTGCATTTCAATGAATGATGTATATTACGAGTATATAATTGTGCTAGTTTATTTGTTGAGGATTGATTTAGCATTAATGCTACAATGTCAATTTTGTATAATGATTCGGTTACACATTTTTTTTGAATCAATTATATGAAATTTTAAATTCCTGTCTATTACAATGACATCACTTTACATTTTGAGTATTCATAAAGGACTTTTTAATTTCACTCTAAGCATTTTCGCATACTGTTTAACATCATTACTAAATTCAAATACTCCCTTTTGAAACAAGGATTTGCTACTTATGCTACTATTACAATTTTTTAGATGATTATTTATACTGCCTCTAGTTTCGTAGTTATGATAATCACTGTTTAATTTTGTGAAGTTTTCTAAATTTTTTAATTTGAATTTGAAAATGATAACCAAACAACATATACATTTTTTTAAATTCTACCTCTGTGATTCCTCTAACATAGATTTAATCCGAGCATATTTGTTTTTATTTAAAATGATTCTCATAGCTCTATTTTGTAGAATTTGTTATTTTGAAAATATGTTTTATTTTGCTGTAAACAAGATGGTTGGACAATATAAAAAATTGGGAAGAATTATGGTATTATACACGATTCTTTTGGAACACATACTAAGATTATGGGAAACTCTATCAGAGGTAATTTATCTTTTTTGTGATTCTTGAGATAATGTATTCATAATGCTCGTCAAACAGTAGTTTACTGTCCACATATATACCCAGATATTTTAATGATTCGACTACTTCAATTTTTTTATCATTAATCATGAGCCTGATTGTATTTTCACCTAAATGTGTTGGTCTCTTTTTTTTTGTTTTATTAGTACCTTTATTAGTTTATCTTTATTAACATTTAACTAATTCATAATGTTCTTAAATATCCAATGTCCAAATGTTTATGTGCTATATATCAATGTATAGTCCGCAAATATATGAATTTTGCAGTGTTCTGAAATGAATAGACAAATCTTAGATGTCAAAAAATTTGGAGGTCTTAATATTGATAAATTACCTAAACTAATTAAACAGTTTAAAAAAACAGGTACATGGTTTGCTATTTTCTAGCAACTTAGTTTAATAGTATATCAATTTCAATTAAACTGGTTCCAGAGAACGCAGTTTAATTAAGCTGAATAATTAAGTTACGTAGAATAATTAAAATATTTATTACGGTTAATGAAAATTGACTACGTTTTCTCGATGTACCTTGATTGCTGTTGATGTGGGTACAATTCTCCTTTGGTATTGCAACCCATTTGAAATAGCATGTTCATTCCTGCAGAAGCAAGTAGAATATCTGTACTTCCCCGCATGGCGAGAGAAATAAAAGTGGAAGTAAACGTGTCTGCTCCAAATGAAGACAGTCCCTCTGTAGCATTGGTGCTGAAGAAACGTGGAAGAAAGGAGTATTCAGTTGCTGTACCCAATACTGTCGTTCACACGAAGATACTGGAAGGAGTGAAGTTTTTCTATAGGAAGGAGAACAATTCACACAGCATTTGGGCCAAAGGGCCACTGTTTGCTGAAATGGTCTTATTGGTAAGTTACGCCTCTTAATATTTTAGACCAAAAGAAAAACCTGGAAGTTTCTGAAATAGCCGCTAGAGGGCTTAACTGCAATCTTGAATCTGAACTTTTTTGTTTGATAATTTTTGTTGCATCCCTAAAAATAGGGTGGTGGGGGTATTCTATTGTTTCTGTAAGAAACGCCCTGTATCATCGAAAAAGAAGGTAATTTTTGTCTTTCAGAGATGATCATATGTGAGGTTTGGGATTTTTAAAAACTTGAGTTCCTTCAAAAAAATGTTCTTGGCATCGTTCAGTGACAATTAACAATTATTTTTCGTTCTCGTCGAAGTAAATGTTTAGAAGACATATCGTAGTACCCTCGTAGTAGTACCCAACCGCCACGATTTCAAAGCCGCCTATAAATCATTTAGTTGTATAATTTCTCGGACTGGGACATTCATTGGCCATGGAGGAGTCTCTAGTTTTTCGTCACCCGAGAAGGGCCCGCATGCTAATCATCAAGAACCACTGGTAGTTTTCTTCTGTGGTGAATGCTTTGTTACAGAATTGATGGGCTGTCGCATATTATACCCCATCCTACATCAATAGAATGGCGAGCTTCTAGTTTCCCCGTCTGGACCAGGTTGCGGGAAAACTATGGCAATTGTGTAAAGAGAGAAATCTTACTGCCCTCGCGTCAAATATAAAATCTAGGAGTAATACTGGTACAGATGAGCTTTTGCGTCAGTGGGACGTCGAAACGGAGTGGGAGCTTCACCTGTCACCGTTCTGATTGTGGCTCAAGTATTCGGTGTTTCTGAAATTTCACTTCTAGAAGTAACGGAAGGATCTGATGGAGGGACCCAGGACGCCGCCCCCACTAATTCTGAAGCTTACTCTGGTTATCGTCACTGGAACGCTGTCATTTCAATCAACATCGATAATCCATCATGTATTGTGGGCTTAGATTACGGTAGGACCTTTGTCGGGAAGAAATGCATGCCTGGTTTCCAACCTTGAAATTTCTTACCTTACAGGTGATAAGAGATCAAGATATATTTGTTTGAGCTATCAGTCTTTTACCCAAAATGTTATTAACGACGCAGACATAAGATGGTTTTTGAAGGGCATTTACAGGCTGAGTCCATCTCAACTGAAATATAGATACTGTGGTTATTCTCAACCAACCAAATGGGGTTGCTGGTAAACTCTGTAGATATTTAGATGAGTAAATCAGCAACACTGCTAGCTCTAACCTCAAGTCAGAGTGTGCAAACTAATTTAAAAAGACAACATCCGGATTGGGTTGAATAATGCTGAAATTGGGATTTCGCAGTTTTTAAAAGTCTCGGAGTCACTCATGAGGCAACCCCTTAAGTTTTACCGTATTTTGCGCCCAAATATCTGAGCAAAGTATTTATTTGTCACTGAAGAGTAACTTTATCATGGTGCCTCGGCTCCCAGATGGATAAAGTCGGTTTTAGCAGAGAGTGTCACAATTGACAACCCACAGTACATGTAATGCGTCTATCTCTCCGCCTGCTCTCCCTATGTATCAGCCAATTGTTGCAACAACTTGGCTTTGAAGTAAATAAAGGTTTATAGGCGGCTAGAGGGGTGAAAGGTAGGGGGAAGGGCCGCTTTCCTTCTCTGCGTGCGCGCTTTGAAATCGTGGCAGCTGGGTACTACTACGAGGGTACTACGATGTGTATTCTAAATATTTACTTCGACGAGGACTTCACATAATTAAGATCGATTATCGCTTACAGGTAAGTTCGTTTGATCATGTAACGTGACATGATACAGATATTTTTGAACTTATAATTGTACAGAAACAATAACAAACTGACGTGCTGATCGACACACATCGCAGATGAGTGCATCACAAAACATTCACAAGAGAAATTGAATCAAATTCGAAAATATTCAGGATACTTCTGCTTGGAATGTTAAAATAATCCAGAATTATAATTTGCCAACAGAATGCTTTGTTCGATTTACAGGTGGTAGTAACGCAAAGGGAGCTGCAGACCGGCATAAACGTAGACTATAATACAAAGTTCTCCATCCAAAAATCCTATCTGGAGCCATCAAAGAGATTTATCTGGATTAGGGGAGGCTGGGGACCCTGTTCAGCCAGTTGCGGTGGGGGATACCGCCAGAAGACTGTCGCGTGTTGGGATAATCTGAACAAGAAAATCGTTAAGCGGAATATATGTTCGCTAGTGCAAAAACCCAAGATGGAAAGAGAAATATGCAACACATTCGAGTAAGTAGATCCACAATTGAAGGGTACAGGGGAACGAGTGAGTTTCGCGAAAAGTGAATTTAAATGTTTGAAGACTCCTAGACTTGTTGTACAGGGTGGGTCAAAGATCCGACGGAATACCACAGATTCCTTAATACAAGAAATTCGAAAAATTTTAAATTATATATAAAAAATATTTTTGATATATAGGGTAGCCCAAAAGTAAAAGCATACCAAACATTTTATAATGAAAGGTCCTTTTTATTCTTGTATTTTGAGATTCTTCTTATAATTTTGTACATTTTTTAAGTGTTAGCGTCCACGCCTGAATTCAGCTTTTTTAAGATATTGAGGTTAGGAATGGGCCTTTCGCCATATGTTAATTAACCCTATAAAATCAACGGGTTGATTAACCAGCAAAATGCCTAGATTTTACGATCTGTTCCAATATGAGAACTACCTTAACAGGGTATTTATTACACAGGGCCTAAAACATGAGAACAATATGATTTTTTAACCTCAATAGGTCAAACACAGAAATATTTCTTATTTATTATTTTTTTATTTGGGACAGGAAAAAACAATGAAACAAAAAAGCTTTATTGAAAAGAATATAGAACAAACAAAACAAAATTAATGGTGGCTGCCTAAAAATGATTACTTAACGTTTATTTCTTTCGTCGCAGATTGGTATATGGTAGGTAAATTGTTGTAGTAGCTACTAATTTCGGTGGGTTGGCTCAAGGTAAGCCACTGTTATAACTGGAGTGTGTTGCTGCAATGGCTCCCAACATGATCTGTGCATGCTGAAGTAAATCATACAAGGCAAGCCTTATGGTGAAATATGCGGTTTGTAATAAGGTCTTCAGACACGCATGTGTGAACCTTTCTTTGGATGAGGTCAATATTTTAAGTGACCAAGATAAGGGATATACGTGGTCCTGCACCTGCTGCAAAAAATTTGTCAGCCAAATCGACGAATTGAAAAAAATCATACTATCATTACAAGAGGACATCAGATCTATGAAGGCTGAAAATAATTCCTTAAGGTCAACTCCTGCTACCTCGGGTGATGTCGTATTTGAGGCTATAATCCAGGAACTGAATAAACGCAATTCTATTATAATATTTGGTTCACCAGAACCAATCAGTCACATCAGCCTCGAAATCTCTAGAGAAAAATCACAAAGGTCCTTAAGGTAGTTGAGTGCCTTAGAAGTGTGGATGTTGTACCTGTTAGGCTTAGTTAGTGAAGTTGGTGTTAGATGATGAATCTCATGTCTTAAATATCATAACAAAGGCCAAAAACTTGAAGTAAAGTTCTTTCAAAAACATATCTCTCTCCTTCGATCGTACCCAGAGGCAAATTGGACAGTATAGAAGACTGCATGGTGAAATAAATACAAGGAATGCTGAGGGTTCCCATCAGTTCAGAATAAAGCATTTCTACGGTATTCCTAAGATTGTTAAGTCTTTAAACTAAATACCTCCAACAATACCAGTAATTCCTGCCCGCGTAACATATCATGTTACTATCAGAATGTACGAGGTCTTAACAGTGAGGTAGCTATCGTCAATTGTTCTGTTTCTGAGAGTGAGTTTGACCTAATCGCGTTGAGTGGAACCTGGTTCAGTGTTAGTGTTTTGTGCTCAGAACTATTCGCCAATATTTACACAGTTCATAAGAAAGACCGAAAGTTAGGAATTCTCAGGAAAGAAACTGGAGGTGATGTTCTCCTTGCTGCCAAAGACTTCATTGATACTATGGTCAGTGAGACGAGTAATTCTGACTTACAGTTCCCTTCTATTGATCTCTTATTAGTGAACTGTACTGTAGGTCTTAAGGCATTTTTTGTAGTTGTTTAGTGTTGTGTATACAGGGTGTCCGCAAAGTTGGGGTTTTCCTTTTCAGAAACAACTACCCTTGAAATAACAAAGGTAATGTGTAGTGAAACGAGGGCGACCAAGTAAAAAAAAAATAAAGGAAAAAGTACTCACTCTCCAGTTGACTAGAAGGGCTAAGTACGTATCTGCCCGAAATCATACCGCTCCAACAGAAAATGAAATCAGCTGATGCGCTACCGAGCAGACGCAGGCAAACAAGGAAGGCAAAATGTTGCGTAATGACCAAACATGAGTGTTGCGAAAGTTATTCACCCCGTTACGCGTGAACGTAGATTCGTCTGTCACCAATATGCACTTCAAAAAGTCCGGATTATTGTCATGTTGATGCAACAACCACTCACAAAACCGCACTCTTGCTGGAAAATCGTCAGGTTGAAGGGCTTGTACAGGTTGGACGTGAAACGGATACAGCCCCTCTTCACGCAGCGTTTGCCACACTTTAGTTTTTGATACTTGCACTTCTCTAGCCACGTCTCTAGTGCTTGTTGTTTTTTGAAACGCAATCGATTATATGGGTCCGTTTACCTCTACACGCGTGACCGTAACCGTCGGTTGAAGGTTGCATACTGACCTGACACAGACCCCGACCCAGTTCTGCCGTCGGGTTGAGACCTTGTACCAATCGGTGATGTCCCGGGTCGCGGCTACAGAACGGTATTCAGATATTTTTGATGTTGCAGAGCCCTTTATCTCGGTTACCTTAAGACATTGGTGTATATGGTAGTAAGAAAAATTGCTTATGTTTTCAAGATCTACACGTCGTGTAAAGGACAACCCCAACTTTGCGGACACCCTGTATACCTGATGGAATAAGCGTTGTGGAGTTTGAATATTTGTTTGATGCTCTCGAACAGTTGGACTTCTTGAATGATATTTCATTCTATATTCTTTGGAGACTTCAATGTTCCTCGCTGTATTGAGATGTGCATGCTTGATCCAAAGACAAAAGCTATATGCAATTATTTGGATCTGCTCAATTGCCAGCAACTGAATACAATGACTAACCACCTAAGCAGGTTATTAGACTCAGTAATTACACGTTTTACTTGTGAGGTCACTCATGATGTTATGCCTTTGGTTTCGGAAGACAAACATCACCCTGCTTTGAATACCTGTATACTTGATCTATTTGCCAAAGGAGCTAAAATCGAATTCAATTCAAGTGAACGTGTTTACAACTTAGAAAAGCGGATTTTCTTTCTCTTTACAGAGAACTATATGAAACTGACTGGAGTGTATTACTTGCCTCTGAAGATGTTAATGCTGTCCTTGATAAAATATACGAGACAATATTTAGCCTTTTTGATAAACATATACCAGCCTATAGGAGCTATAGTCATAATTGGTTTGATGCGAAAATTATCCGCAATATTAAGCAAAAGGCGAAATACAGAAATAAATTCAGGAGGTTTGGTCGGGGAGCTGATGAATGCGAATTTCAGCGACTACGCAAATTGATTAAGGTCCAGATCAAATGTGCATACGACAACTACCTTGAAGATATTCAAAATTCATTATCGCATGATCCTAGGAGGTTCTGGTCATATGTGAATTCAAAAAAGCACACTTCCAGGATCCCTGGAAAGATGTTTTACCTTAACGAATCATTGTAAATGCCTTTAGTGTATTTTTCAAGAGTGTCTACATAGAGTCTCAAGCAGCCAATTTGGGTAATGTGGGCGATAGTTTCAACAATGTTGCTCATGTAAATTTTGATGAAATTTATCATAATGAAGTAATGATTGCTATTAAGAAACTTAAGGACAAAATGACTTCAGGCCTCGATAATATTCCATCCTTTTTGATCAAGGATTCTGCCGGAGCATTCGTGGTTTTTTTTTAAAAAATTGTCCCCTATGCTAAAAACCGGAGAAAGTTCCAATATTGAAAATTATCGTCCGATCTACATTTTGTGCATGTTCTCGAAGGTCTTCGAGATAATACTTTACAATCGTATTTATAGTCCGGCGTATAATCAGCTCTCACAACATCAACATGGATTTATTAAAAACCGTTCAACTGCTACAAAACTAGTTACCATAACGCAATATATTCCGGAGGCATTGGATAACAATAGTCAAGTTGACGTCATCTACATGGACTTCTTCAAGGTCTTCGATCGAAAAAATCATGATGCTTGGAAGGTTAATCAAATTTGGTTTTTCTAGTGATGCTAGAGACCTTTTTGAATCTTATTCATCTTCGAGGTGGCAATATTTGTTTCTTATAATAATTTCCGTTCTGATACTTACTTAGCCTCATCCGGTGTTCCGCAAGGTTCGAATTTGAGTCCCTTGCTGTTCTTGCTATTCATCGATGATTTATGTGAAGATTTGCAGAGTGAGCGTTTATGTTTTGCGGATGATTTGAAAATATATACCGTTATCAATGATTTGAATAATTGTACTTTCCTTCAGACTCAATTGGACATCCTGCAGCACTGGTGTGATACCAATAATTTATTTCTTAATGTACCCGAATGTAAAATTGAGTTACTCTAGGAGGAAAACTACCTATCACCTTATTTACCTATTAAATGGGCTATCTCTGGAGCGTTGTACCGAAATTAAGGATTTTTGATTGCAAGTTGACATTTGGTAAACATATTGAAGCATTAGTTTCACATTCTATACAGTTATATGGATTTGTTGTTAGAAACTGTAGACATTTCCATAACATAAGAACCATTAGAATATATAGACAATGAAAAATTAATAATAGACTTAAAATCTGAAACCTGGAACAACTTATATAATATAAGAAATGTCCACGCAGCAACTAAATATCTGACTACAACAATGACTGAAAGTATATCAAAAAATACGTAGAAAATTAAAATAAATAGTAAAGACCGTCCAAGAAAAAACTGGGTAACTGCTGGACTAATTAAATCTATCAATGAAAAAAACGAGAAACGTATAAATTATATAAGACAAATCCAACAGATAAAACAAAACAAAATTATTTGTATTATAAAACTAAACTCTGTCATTTGATCAACATTTCAAAACAAAAATATTACACAGAAAAACTACAAAACAATAAATCCGACTCTAAAATGCTATGGAATACCTTAAATCAGATCTGTAATTCGTCCAAACCTGAAACAAAAATTGAAGAAATGAACGTCCATGATACAACACTTAACAGAAGAAAATATATTGCTGATGCATTCAATAATTACTTTATAGAAATAGGGAAAAAATTAGCAATGAAAATAAATAAATCTAACACAAATAATCCGCCTAGAAAATGTATACAACAATCGATTTTCTTAGAACCTGTGTCTGAGAATGAAATAAAAAATTCCATACACAGTTTGAAAAATAAAAAAGTCCAGCTCTTGATGGTATACGATCAGAAATATTAAAGAGAATTTGATCCGAAATTAGTAAGCCCTTAACGTACATAGCAAACTTGATAATTGAATCAGGAGAATTTCCAGATGATTATAAAGTAGGAGTAGAAACACCCATCCACAAATCCGGTGAAAAAACAGATACTAACAATTACAGGCCTATAACTCTAATGTCCAACTTTGCAAAAATTATTGAGAAAATTATGAAAACACGACTTCTAAATTTTTTTGATAAACATAATCTGATTAATGAAAACCAATTTGGATTCCAGAAAAACAAGTCTACCCAAGACGCAATTTCTTTTTTGACATCAAAATTATACAAATTACTGGACCAAAGTGAATATACCCTGTGTGTGTTTTTAGATCTAGCCAAAGCATTCGACACAGTAGACCACTGCTGCTACTATTAGAAATCTTACACGAGTCAGGAATTAGAGGCAAGGCTTATAACCTCATGACAAGTTACCTTTCCAACAGAACACAGTGCGTAGAAATAAATAATTCCTTAAGCACAAACAAATTCATACCGTATGGTGTCCGACAAGGGACAGTGTTAGGCCCCTTATTATTTACACTTTACATTAATAGCCTACTGAGCTTAAAATCTGAAGGGACAATCATATGCTTTGCAGACGATACTACTATCATTTATTCGGATAACAACTCGTGGGATGATCTAAAAGTGAAGATTAAATGAGACTTAACGATAATTGCAGACTGGTTCAGACATAAAAGCCTAACTATTAACTTTCAAAAGACTATGGTCATGCCATTCACAAATCACAGAAACAAATTACCATCCTTTGTATCTACACAGATTAACTGTGATAATATAAATACTCAAATAAATTTAACAAACAAAATAAAATATTTAGGTGGATATTTGGACTCACATTTAAAATGGAAATGGAAGATGTAGTCCGATGTAGGTTAAAATCCCATTAGAAAACGGACGGGTGTTACAACTAAACAAACTAAAAGGGTACTACAAATAAACTGATGTTTGGGGCGTTAATATCCCAAAATCTGGAAGTTAACGAGAAAAATATGCCCACACATAACCAGAACTACAGCAGAAAGAAAAACAAAATGGCACTGGACCGTCTGGGCACGCAACCCCCTAAAAGAAGGTTGAATAAGTGGCCCTGAAGAAGGCACGTTTGATAGAAAATCAAAAGGAATAGATAGAAGCCGGTAAAGAAGGTATCTTGATAGTAAAGCAAATTTTAACAGAAGGTATCTTGATAGGAAGGTAAACATTCATATACGGCTAGTACGTGTAGGAAGCACAAGGTGGTGCGCTGGTCAACTCTGTTTACGAGGGTCCAACGATATTTTGTAAGAAATATATATACGCGAACAAGCCCCGAACTCTGGACGAATTGATGGGCTAAATTCGCGTGGAAGTCGCCCAAGTTGAGAGAGCGATGTTGGAGAGAGTCTACGCGAACTTCCAAGAGCGCCTCCAGCACTGCATCAACGATTTCGGCCACCACATGCCTGATGTGATTTTCCACACCCGACTGTTCCAAATGCTATTTCCTTGTGTACCCGATTCCATCAATAAATTTGTTTTCGAGTAAAAAATAACTATTTTATGATTTTTTTAAAACCGTCCGTCCTCTCTGTCGCACCCTGTATATTTGATTATATTATTTTTTCGACCTCTTCAGTCATTTCTTTATGTTGCACTGATTCAAATATTCAGCATGATTCACCTAACAAGCTACCTAATAAAATATTTTTCCAGTTGCAGATTCGTTTGGATAGCAGGAGAGTGGGAACCATGCAGTACTAGTTGTGGTACTTCAGGTACTCAAAGCAGGGAGATATATTGCATACCAAAATCGGTGCTAAATAAAATGTTGGATGGTTTAAATGAGACAAAAGCGGAGCCCTGGAGACACATGGTGCATCCCAAGAAATGTTCAAAGGCTACACCGATCACCACAAGATACTGTAATAGAATACCTTGTTTTTCTTATTGGAGATTCCACGACTGGTCCCAGGTGAATCAAATCTGCTATTTAGTTTTTCTACATTATATATATAATAGGTGAAAAATAAAGCTTCCGCCTTTAGTTGGATACTTCGACAAAAGTCAAGCAATGAGGACTCTTTATACTTTATTAGTCTGTAGCTTTCAATCGACTTTGCCATCTTCATCAGGAGATTAGTATGTGAGATATTTAGTAGCCTGGTGAAAGCTTGATACATGGTACATTCGTTAAAATTAATATAAAATACACACTGCTGTATGTCAGGAATACATCAAAACTGATGCTGCACAAATAATTTTGTGTGTATTTTATATTAATTTTAACAGGTGTACCATGTATCCAGATTTCACCAGACTACTAAATGTTTCCCTCAACCTAACCGTTAATAACATTTAGCAACAATCTCACATACTAATCTCCTGATGAAGATGGCAAAGTCCATTGAAAGCTAGAGACTAATAAAATATAAAGAGTCCTCATTGCTTGAATTTTGTCGAAGTACCCAACTAAACGCGGAAGCTTTATTTTTCACCTAACTGGTCTAGACGACAATGACCACGTCTCAAGTTTATATATATATATATATATAACAAAAATAGGAAAAAAATGGGCAAAATCCACAAAAATAAGGAAATGCACATATGCAACTACAAAACCAGATACACATGCCCATACATCCGGATACTGGTGTAACCTGAGGAAACGAAGATGGAGAGGGAAAAAAGACACACGAAGTCCACAAGAGCCAACCCATTGTAGTAAAAAATGGCTAGATGATCTCCAATTTTCAAGGCGACAACAGATCACAACCACGCGGCCGGTTATAGCCACTTGCTGTGGTACTTCAAGCCCAAATGATCGTCAAAGAGAAAATTATGTTATCATGCGGAGGAAGGTATATAACAAAAATAGGAAAATAATGGGCAAAATCCGGAAAAAAAGAAGGAAAGTGGATTCGTGCAGAAAATAGGATTGGTAACCCGAGCGATACGTACTTCTTCTGGTTGACGTCGTCAGTCCCGAAATGAATGCACATTGAAAATTCGAGGTCTTCTAGCCATTTTTTACTACAATGTGAAGGCTCTTATTGTGGACTTTTTCCCTCTCCATCTTCGTTTCCTCAGATTACACCCATATCCGGATGTATGGGCATGTGTACCTACTTTTGTAGTTGCATATGTGCATTCATTTCGGGCCTGATGAAGCCAACCAGCAGAAATACGTATCGCTCGGGTTACCTATTCTATTTTCTGCTCGAATTCACTTTCCTTCTTTTTGGGGATTTTGCCCATTATTTTCTATTTGTTATACACCTTTCTCCGGATGATCCTTTTCTCTTTATTATATATAATTAAGTATTCATTTCGGTCCTGTATAGAACCATCATCAGTCGCAGCTGAGGTTGCAGCCAAATGGTTTTTCGAAACGAAAGCGTGGACGAGAGCACTTGTTGCAATTATAGAACCAAAAGGACGGACACATTGGCATTTTTGATACCGACGGAAACCATAGTTAGGTGACGTGAAACAGATGTGGGAGGTTAGAAGGGACTCTACCTTGTTTTTTCCCCAAAAATTGCAGTTCGACAATTTTTAATGTGTTCAGGTTTATTGGTATATAGTTTTAACACCTAATCATTGCTTGCGTCGTTATCAAATAACCCAATGTATCCGTCCTTTTGGTTTTATAATTGCAACAAGTGCTCTGATCCACGCTTTCATTTTGAAACACCATTTGGCTGCAACCTCAGCTACGACTCCTGATGATGGTTCCATAGAGGACCGAAAGCTCGAGATTACCGTTAAAAAGGTTTACTGAAGCCTAAGATTTTTGCCAATTTCCCAGTTAATAATTAACACCCAAGTGGGTAAAAGGGGACATGATTTTATATATAGAGAGTGAATCAGAATTTCAAAACCGCATTGCTCCTGACAAGCGTGGGAGCGGGACACGGGTAGTGGAGATAAGTAGCTTATTACAAAAATGGAGATTAGTGCACTATTGCGCGACATCTATTTCACTCTGAGTTTAAACTTTAACGAGTGCAGGAATTGAAGCCACATGACCACCATCTACGTCGTCCGTTTGCCGAAACAGTGTTAGAGCATTTTCCAACTTAATAATTTTGAAGGTCCACCATAGCAGGACGTGGTTTCAACAAGATGGCGCGACATCCCATACCGCCAGCGAGTCTTCAGCAGTTGTAAACGAAATGTTTAGTGGAAAAGTGATATCGCGATGAGGGGACATTCCGTGGCCTCGCCGGAGTCCAGATCTTGCACCAATGGACTTTTTTTTCTCTGGGGATACCTCAAGAGCCGCGTTTACGTCAATAAACCGACGACGATTGCCCAGCCCAAGCACAACATTTCCGAGATGTCCGCTATCCCATTTTCAAGCGAGTTGTCACAAATTTGAAGTTGAGAGTTTAGGAGTGTGTACGTCTCGATGGCTCTCATCTCAATGATGATATTTTGAAACAATTAGATTCCCATGTGTCTACTTTATTAAAAATATAAGTGATCCTCCATTCGCTTTGTAGTTTTTTCTATGATTTTTCAAAATCATGTCAAATTAATGGCCCACCCTGTATTACATAACAGCAGGAACGTAGGGTGAGTACAAAACTGGACACCTGGTACTAAGGAATGCAAATAAGCAAGCTCTGCATTGAGATTTTACTCATATTATGCTAGATATACCATTTTTTTCTTGCTTGACAAGAACTTTAAAATTTACTAATACAATCGTTTAAAAACAAATGGTGCCCAAAAGTGTAGCGACAACTCACTAATCATCCTGCACACTGCAAGCTATACACTTGTACAGTTTTCAAAATTCCGTTATTTCCAATGTCTTGTTTCAGTGTTCTGCTAGCTGTGGCGTCGGACTTCAAACAAGAAGTTTTTACTGTCCAGCCCCTTCTTTAGATGAGCATTCATACACTTGTGGAAGTCCTCCACCAGATCAGAAAAGGGAATGCAATGCGGATCGGACGAAGCGGAAGGCCTGCAAAGAAACGAAGCACAAGAAATGTCTGCATGACGAAACGGAGTACTGCGCAATCGACATTCTTCGAAAGTATTGCGTCCTGAGTGGATTCCGGAAGGTCTGTTGCAAAACGTGCAAGAATTTTCAAGAAGCTGGATGATCAATGTCAGATTCTATTTTAAATATAAATATATATTCATTCAAAATTACAGTTCAATATCCTTTACAGCGTTACTAATGAAAATACGTATAATGTTAATAATAATAACAAACGCTTCTTAGTGCAGCTACCTGGGAGCTTATAATAAATAAGAAACTGATATGACTAACAATTGCTTTCATTTGAACCACTTCGTCCACGTTGTCTCCTACAGGGAACTCGAGATAGGATAGCATCGTATATTGAACATGGTAACCAATAAGAAATGCACAAGTGCCATTCAAAATAAAGAGCTCGTGCACAAAACCAGATATATTCACTTTGCACACAGATTCTTGTTTTGAAGGTTTCTTGATAGAAAGTATCGTGGGCAAACCGAAAAAGCAACTTGGAATTGTGAACAGTTGAGGGCAGCGATAGGCGCCGTTAGGAATGGCAGGAGTGTTAGGGATATATCCAGAGCATTTAACATTCCACGAAGTACCCTGCAAAAAACGATTGAAAGAAAATAGCGATCTTGGACCTTCTCTAGGCCGTAAACCAGTTTGTTCGATGGAAGAAGAAAATATCTACTAGAACATGTTAGACATCTCTCGAAACTTGTCTACGGATTTTCAAGGCAGGAAATTAAAAAATGCGCCTACAATTAGGGTAGGTGGTGGTACAAGTGCGCGTGGGGTAAGAATCCTCAATTGTGTAGCTAGAAACTCTCTTATTGTTCTCTACCCAGCGATGCATGTCTCGGTCGGTATCTTGCAGAAGTGCCATTACCTTAAAGCATTAACACCATTAAAATCCCTACGATTATAACACCGTCCCATACTCGAGAGACAGGATGTGAAGATGCTTGCATTTTTACCCGACACTACTGATTTCTGCAAAATTCGTAACTCTAATCCTAGAATATAAAAAGGGTCATTGACTATTCTCTGTGCTCATTTCGTTACTTGTTCTTCTGTTCTCAACTGTTGCTGATGCCTCAATAAAAGCTACTCTACAAAAGTTACTGAAGTATTTCTCTAACATCCTTTGGCGATTATAAGAGAAATAGGAACGCAAGTGATAATTCCTTAGTGCAATCAATCACCCACGATGCACACGTATTTAATTGGCGCTGCGAACAGGATGCCCAGCCTTCATCAAGTAGTGTGACTTGGTCAGAAATCAAGAAGATTCACTGAGAAACCAGATGAACTTAGAAGGTAAATGTTTTCAAACTTTTGCAATTGGGTATCGCTACTGTAACCTGTGAACGAGTTCCGAGGCCGGTAAGACCTCTCAAGTTCCTGTTCCAAGTTTATCCTAGTGGCCGGTAAGACCACACCAGTTCCAGTACCTTTTTGGAGAGAACTTTTGCATCCAGAACAACCAGAAAACAGAACGAATGGGTCCCTTGGCGACATCGATGCTGATCATGTCATTGTAAGTAGATTTAAAAAGTTTATTAAGAAGTAAGAAGATTTTTATTGAAGAAATTGAAGAAAAAAATATAAGGAGATCTTGCTATTAATTGATATTGTACAAAGAAGAGATACCATTTGGAGAACAAGACGACTTATTTGATTTTTGCTACATTTTTGCTTGTTAGTATTTAAGATTGTATTTTTATGCCTCTTGTTAGACGATTTACTAGAGAGAGTTCATACTCCCCTTACACTTATCCACGTTCAAGTTCTAGTTCTACCGATTCTTCTCTTGACCAAAATATTTCAAATTCTGGAACCACAATGGCACAACCAAATGGTAATGAACGTTACAGAATGATTGAACTACGATTCAGGAGTCTTAAGGACTCTCTGCCAAAATTTTCTCCTAACCAAAATAATTTGTCTACCTTTATCCGAGACAGTGAGTTGTTCGTTTCAAAATTCCAAAACACAGAATTCGAAGAACCTGTCGAATTGGTCATGTTAAATATTTGAGATCAAGCTCTCGAAAAGGTCAGAAATCACGGGTCGAAGCTCGTGATGTTCTTATTCGAAATCTATGACCTCCCTTAAATGTCTATTATTTGTTTACAAGATGAAATTATGTTTGTAATTAGATATTAAGGAATTTACATTGTATAAATTATTTGCGATTTCTATTCATCATGAACTTATTACTCTGCCAAGTGAGTATTTATTAACTTACGAAAATAATTATTATTGTTCTGACATTATTAAACTAGGTAATCAACTGTCTGTAAAAGTACTTTCCAGTCTCCCTGTCAACCACAGAAGTTCGAGATGTATGAGTCTGAAAGCGTAACAAACTATACGAAAATAGAAGAATTAAATAAAAATAATTATGTAATTGATACTAATCAACTAACAAAGATAAGAGACTGTAAAGGTACTTCTTTTATACATTATGCGACACATATTATTTTAGAATGTAATACTTTAATTAATCATAAAACTTTAGAATTTGATTCCACATTTTAGATTAAGTTAGACCTAACTGATGCAGCAAAAGGCACGCAATATCAGTTTCAGAAAACGAATGTTTCACTGGAATCTTATTTACATCAAAACCTTTGCAAGTCAGCTTTCAGAATTTACATTATAGATCTACTGTAAAATATCCTATCATTTTAGTTTGTATTCTTATATTTTTAATCATTTTTATTATTGTCTTTGTAGAATATCGATACCAAAGTTCCACCGACAACTCCAATTTCTAAACCCGCTGAGGAAATACCTTTAGCTTAATTTTGTCTGATTCGAGACGAATCTTTTTCACCGTGGGGAGGAGTTATGGTATCCTGATGCCTTTACCTTGAAGCATTAACACTATCCAAGTCCATACGAGTATAACACCGTCCCATACTCCAGAGACAGGATGTGAAGATGCTTGAATTTTTACCCGACACTACTGATTTCTGGAAAATTCGTAACTCTAATCCTAGAATATAAAAAGGGTCTTTGACAATTCTCTGTACTCATTTCGTTACTTGTTCTTCTGTTCTCAACTGTTGCTGATGCCTCAATAAAAGATACTCTACAAAAGTTACTGAAGTATTTCTCTAACATCCTTTGGCGATTATAAGAGAAATAGGAACGCGAGTGATAATTCCTTAGTGCAATCAATCACCCACGATCCACACGTATTTAATTTACATCGTTATACGTGGTAATGGTAATGAGGTAAGTTGTAAATTTCTCTGCCCTGATCTAATATTTTTGAATATAGAGGTGAGAATTATGTGTCTACATGACATAGGATGGAGATTTTTACAGTAGCTTTAAAAGACTAGAGTTTTCGACAACACGTTCCTTTATGGGGAAAAATTCCTCATGTCTGATGGGGCAACGATCCGCTAAGGACATTCTTCGCGGATTTTTGCCCCATTTTGGCCGAAATGTGTAAACTGTAAATCGCTCTTTTTAGCACTTTTTTTAATCCTCCAACCACCACGAAAGCTTAAACACCCACAGGGTATCGTGGGGCTATAGGGGGGTACAGGGGAAAGGGGGGGAACGCCACACGGACTCTGGCGAGGGAACACGTGTGCATGCAACATGCACACATTCTGGCCCCGCCTACGAGATCCGCCGGGTGGTACCTCCGCGTTCGACAGTCAGAAACCGTCTACCACCTACGGACATCCACAGCCAAGAGGCAAATTTCTCGTGGAATGGGATTCGAACCCGCACAGTGCACGGCGACTGATCAGGAGACTACTAGACTACTAGAGTCTACTACTGCGGCCACCGCTGCTGCCTCAGCAGTTTTAAATGGAATTTCTGATGAAATAGTTTCAATGGTTATAAATAGAAGAGTAGAGATTATACTAAGTGACATATAAATCCGAACACCCAGTTTAAATGGTTTTATTTTAATAAAAGTTGGTGAATGTATTTATCTTACTGTAAATAACAAGTGAACAAATTTTCAGCCTTATCAGTTGGACATTCCGGTTTTTATACTGCTTTTTGATAATTCACTAACACTCTAAAAATGAATATTTCAGCCGCAGTAAAGAATCAACGTTGGCGGATTTTGGTTCTTGACATCCTTTACGATCGGTTACGATGCCTAGAGTACGGAGACCTGTACGATTTTGTCAACTTAATGAGTTTGTTAGGGGCCGTATAGTGGGACTTCGGGAAGCTGGACTTTCTTTTCGGGCAATTGCAGTTAGAGTGCAAAGAAGTGTAGACACTGTGGTTAGGTGTTGTCAGGCATGGCTTCGAGAAGGCCGTACGCAAAGAGCAAGGGGCACTGGACGCCGCCGTAGAACAACAGACCGTGAAGATCGCCGCCTAAGATTATTGGCCTTAAGGGACCGTTTCTCAACTACCAGGTCCATTGCAAATGGATGGTTTGCAGAACACGGAAGACCTATTGGCATGCGAAGTGTCTACCGATGAATGAGAAGTTTTGGCTTGTTTTCATACCGGCCACACTGGGTCCTCCCTTTAACTCGAGAACACCGACGTAATCGCCTTGAGTGGTGCAGACAACGGTCACTCGGGGATCAGGAATGGAACAGTATTGTCTTTAGTGACGAGTCTCGATTTTGTTTAGGCATGCACGATGGTCGTACCAGGGTTAGAAGGCGACGTGGTGAAAGGAGGAATCCACAGTTTTTTATTGAAAGACATGTTCATCACACTGTTGGAGTTATGGTTTGGGGTGCTATAGCTTATGGTTCCAGGTCACCTTTAATCTTCATCAGAGGTAACATGTACGCGCAGCGCTATATCCACGAAGTTCTAGAACCCCATCTTTTACCCTATCTTGACACCCTGGCAGATCCAACTTTCCAACAAGATAATGCCCGACCACATGTTGCAAGAGTCACAATAGACTTCTTTCAACATAATGATGTCACATTGTTACCATGGCCACCAAGATCTCCCAACTTATCCCCAATTGAGCACGTGTGGGATATGATGGGTAGGAGATTGCTCAATTTGCAACGTCCTCCTCAGACTCTAGAAGCACTTCGAGAGGAGTTGGTGGTTGCCTGGAATGAGATACCACAGGAGGACATTGACCACCTGATCAGAAGCATGCCTAGGCGCGTTGGAGAATGCGTAGCACATCAGGGTGCATCTACACATTATTAAAGGTCAAAGGGCTTTAAAGCAATGTAATCATTTTGAAATTTTTATCATTTACTTATTATGCTTCATTAAGTACTTATACAAAATTTTATTAAAATAAAACCATTT